TTCATCCTTCCTTAGGTACTAGCCATGGCTACACCAGCGTAAGCGGAAGACCTTCAAGGCGGGGAGGAAGTGCCCTAGGCTCAACAGCCAGTAACAGTTTACTAGACATAGATCCCTTAATTTTAATCCACTTGTTGGATCTAAAAGACAGAAATGGTATGGAAAACCTTTGGGGCCTTCAGCCGCGTCCACCTGCCTCTCTTCTGCAGAACAGAGGTAACTGTGCATCACATATCAAATGATTTAATTCCAACCTGGAAGTGTCTCTGAGAATGCCGTCCCAGAGTTAGAAGCAGATTTGAGGAGGGGAGGGGGAAAAGGGGACGACAAGCAGCCCTTGTCATTGGCAGCTGAACTTCGTATCCTCATCTGTGCTCATCAGTATGCTGCATCTTACTGCCTGCTCTAACACATTCTTTGTCTTAATGGTTGACCTCAGCTTGAGATCGCCGGATGACTCAACTCAAAACAGACGTGTGTATCAAGGAGGGTCTTCTCATCTTTTCTTGGGGGATGTGACTGAACTGGCTTGCTGTTCTGCGCAGCAACATTGTCGAGATACGGTTCACGCAGTTTCTTTGGCCACAACTGTGGGAGAGGAATGAAAGGTCCTTTTCTAGAAGGGGTTAGCACTGAAAGACAACACAAAACAGCTATCTGCTGAGAAAGCAGTTACCCCTCTCGCTTCACACAGTTTGTACGCTTAGTGGTTGAGAGTACTAGGAGCACAGTGTATACTAACACGAAAATAAATCCCGGAATTTACTTTTGCATGAAAAAGGCATTTAAAACAGAACTAGAAAAATGTGTGTAGTAGTAAGGCTGGATTCTGACACGACAGCCTTTAGAATGGGAGCACAGTGGCCGTAGGAACAGTATGTACTTACGAGCTTTTAGAAAGTAATTTTTAACCGCGTTTGTAAAAGCTGACACGATCTCTTTGCTTGAGCTTCTTGCACTTACCTGCTTGCACTATTTTTCCAGTCTGAATGTTACTAGTGTCACCTGTCTGTGTTGGAAGGGAGTTGTACTGAACTGTACAATTCTAATCTCGCAGATCTAACTATTTTCTGTGAAGACTCTCTTCATCTTTTGAGTGCCTTGGCCACTGTGTGATGGGAACATCATAACACAGAGCAGAACTCAACTAAAGATCCCCCCCCCTTAATCTAACTGGGGGGGGGGGGGAAGTTTGTTTGCATTTCTTCAGAATAAATGCTCTTTGTATTGATTTCTTTACCGATCTATTTATTAAGAGAGTTACATAGAAGATACAAAGTGAAATCCTTTTTTTTCCTTCTCTCCCCTTCCCCCCCCAGTGCTTTTTAGCCTAAACTTTTAGTTAGAAGCATATCTGATTGCTTTCAGAATCCAGAAATCCATGAAAATAATACTGATGTCTTGTTAAGTTTCCTGGAATGTTTTCGTTCCTAATCTGCTTGTAGAACTCTGTCTTTTTGTTTTTACAGGGAATAATGCATCACCCGTGGCGTGTATATGCACACCCTTTCTCTGTAACTCTTCCTTAGGTACTAGCCATGGCTACACCAGCGTAAGCGGAAGACCTTCAAGGCGGGGAGGAAGTGCCCTAGGCTCAACAGCCAGTAACAGTTTACTAGACATAGATCCCTTAATTTTAATCCACTTGTTGGATCTAAAAGACAGAAATGGTATGGAAAACCTTTGGGGCCTTCAGCCGCGTCCACCTGCCTCTCTTCTGCAGAACAGAGGTAACTGTGCATCACATATCAAATGATTTAATTCCAACCTGGAAGTGTCTCTGAGAATGCCGTCCCAGAGTTAGAAGCAGATTTGAGGAGGGGAGGGGGAAAAGGGGACGACAAGCAGCCCTTGTCATTGGCAGCTGAACTTCGTATCCTCATCTGTGCTCATCAGTATGCTGCATCTTACTGCCTGCTCTAACACATTCTTTGTCTTAATGGTTGACCTCAGCTTGAGATCGCCGGATGACTCAACTCAAAACAGACGTGTGTATCAAGGAGGGTCTTCTCATCTTTTCTTGGGGGATGTGACTGAACTGGCTGGCTGTTCTGCGCAGCAACATTGTCGAGATACGGTTCACGCAGTTTCTTTGGCCACAACTGTGGGAGAGGAATGAAAGGTCCTTTTCTAGAAGGGGTTAGCACTGAAAGACAACACAAAACAGCTATCTGCTGAGAAGGCAGTTACCCCTCTCGCTTCACACAGTTTGTACGCTTAGTGGTTGAGAGTACTAGGAGCACAGTGTATACTAACACGAAAATAAATCCCGGAATTTACTTTTGCATGAAAAAGGCATTTAAAACAGAACTAGAAAAATGTGTGTAGTAGTAAGGCTGGAAAAGCACACTTGTGGAAGAAAAATGGATCAAAGTGCCAGGAGCCAAAAATAGCGATGGTATTTAAATAATTGAAGACGTTGAAGAGTATTTGTGGTTCAGCTAGGACCCTTCAACCGAAAACAGCAATTAACTTTACATGCAGCAAAAGCAAGATAGCTGGCAATTCTGGCACCCATGGCTATTACTGAAGGTTGCTCGTTTCTCTTGTCTTGTTAGTGAAGAATTAAAATTAAATCAAACCTCAGTAATACGTTTATCGTGATTAACACTTACTTGGAGCTAGCTGGCCCACTACTGCAACATCTTATTTCAGGTCATTCCCAAACAACCATTTGGTGACTTAATAGAACAGAAGAAAAATAATGGTCCCATTTGCTACAAATAAATGCTTGCTTTTGCTGCAGCGATGACATTGGTGTTACTGAATCTAAAAGCTAGCTCAAACTATTTGTTCCTTTGTGATTAGCTCTTTAAATGTAGCCACATAAACAGTCAGACGAATTTTCAGCTGAACATAATCCGTTTTCCCAAAAAATGGAAGTCGCTTCCCTAAGTACGAAAAGGGGAGGCAGCGCGTGAACTCTAAGTCTCAGCTCTGTTTTGCTTGGAAAAAGGCCTGGACAAAAGGACCTCAAGAGAGGGCGTTGCGCTTTGTGCTGTACTACTCGAGCAAGATTAAGCTCTCCTGTAGTGTTGAATGGCTTCCTGGTCATCTTTAGCTATTGGCTACGCAGCTGAAATGACCTGTTTCGCTGAGGTTCCCTTAAGGTTTGACTGTTGCCAGAGCTTATTCAAAGTCAGTCAACTCAGAGAAAGCTGCTGTGACGTTTGGAGTTTGCCGGACCTCACCTCCTGAGGTGACGGTTTCGAAGAGCCACTTGGCTTTACGGTTTTGAACAGCTGAATTTGCAGTGAAACACTTACAGAATTTATAACGCTTCAAGCAGACATCAAAGTTGATCTAATTCTGGCTGAGCAACATGTGTTAGCTCTTCGACCCGATCTTCTGGTGTTAGGTACTTAAGGGAATTCCTTCCCTAGTTTCAGATTTCTTTGAGTTCTATATGTTAAGATGATATGTTGGTGGTATAAGAATCTTATACGCACACTCAACAAATTTTATAAAAACGTGTAACAAATTTGACATAAACTGGCAGCCAGGCTTGTGACCTCAAGCTTGTCTGGCAATATAGAGCAGTAGCTCAGTTGTCGTTAGAATTCACACAGCAGTATTGGGAGCCTTGGCTCTTCCAGTAAGCAAGTTTTGGGGCCTTCTTCCACGGCAGGCAGGGAATGACAGTCTGCTGTCCCGGTAGCCGTGCAGTGCTTGCAACCTAAATATTACGGTGCCATACCAGTACAGAAGAATGTGTGTCTCTCCCTCATTTTTATAGCAGGGCAAAAGGTAGAATTCTTATAGCTGTTAAAAATAGATGTCTGTTTTGATTTGAGAACAGTTTCTTACCTACGGTGTTCTTTAACTTTTCCTTTGGTAAAGCATCATCCTATTCTCTAAAAGATCGAGATCAGCGGAGACACCAGGCAATGTGGCGCGTGCCGCCTGACTTGAAGATGCTGAAAAGACTTAAGACTCAGATGGCCGAAGTTCGAAGCAAAATGTCTGATGTAAAAAACCAACTATCAGAAGTGAGAAGCAGCAATGCTGGCTCGTGCGATGGACAGCCCAGCTTCTTCTCCATTGAGCAAGGTGCTTTAGCTGCCTGTGGAGCGGAAAGCTGCAGCAAGCTGCAAGAAATAGGGATGGAACTACTGACAAAGTCTTCAGTTACCAGTTGCTACGTAAGGAATTGTAAGTGCATAGAAAAGGGGGGATTTAAATGTCCGTCTTACAGATGTCGGTTGTGTCGGTGGTTTATATATCCAGGCATCTGGAAACAGACCTTTTATGGTTACTCGTACTCAAGTTCAGCTGTAAGAATCCAGAAACGTAAAACCTGCACTGCCTTTGAGTAAGGAAATGTTAAGCTGGTTTCAGCCCTTCTCGGTAAAAGCACCAAAACTTTTGCTCCACAACCAGTAGCACGCCTAATGCAGCGAGAATGTTCTGGAGTTTAATCCAGTGTCGAACTGATCCTAGCTGAAGGTCACCTCTTGTTGCCTGCTGCTCTGTGTCTGGCCCATCTACGAACTTGAGGATGTTTCATGATGCTTGCCAGTGAAAAAAACTAAAAAACGCCAGATTTGCTGAACTTCAGTAGCTTGAAACCTTGCTAAAATTCAAGTAAGCCAAGGTTCTCTCTGGAGAGACTTTGCCTTTTGAAAAGTGACTTCTCTCAAAGAGGAGCCTGTCTCTGTCTGTTGAGGTACCGTCACCGAGTCCTGCTGGCAGCACTGGTAAGCCAGTGTGGAATCTTTTGGATACCAGCATGAAGGCTGTGCGAGTGCTTTGTTGCTTATGATCCTGAATAAAAGCACTTGTTAATCCTCCTTCACTTCCCCGTTGCCTGGGAGAGATGATTTTCCAGCCTTCTGTGTTTTGATTCAAGTTATTGCTTGCGTTTTGGAGCCAAGATGAGTAAGAAATATATTACAAACATGAGCGGACTAAAGAACTGGTAGAATAGTTCTATTCCTCTCCATCTCTTTCAATACTGACCTGCAAAACAGGGCTTTGGCAACTCCAGCAAAGGTCTGTTTTGCATTTCGTCACCTCCACAGAGCACAGAATGTCTTCTCTGATGGTGCACATTAAGAGAAAGAGTTGTGTCTTAAAGTTTGGAGCCCTGAGTTGTGCCATCAATAAGCCATGGAAGGATCAAGCCTCCTCAGTGGCAGTGCTAGCTTTTTGTTTGTGTGGTTTTTAATACCACCTCTTTCCTCAGTCCCTCGAAGGTTACTAAGGCGCTGGGCAGTCACTTCATGCTGCCTCAGAACGAGAGGAACAGGCATACTCTGCAAAACAGGAGCAATTTTCTGACTTGCATCGAAGCCTAGATCCCCCACCTTTATGGGGTGTGGTGACAGCAGAACTTGGTGTTTTGCTGTTCCAGTTACCACTCCTCCCCTCTTTTACCTAGAGGAGTTTCTGTAGCAGGATCCGCACTGGCACGTGCTCGGAGAATGGTTAGTTTGGGAAGTGGTAAACAGCGTGAGTCCCATAACCTGCCTTTCACTCTTGCTTCCGAGGTCCTGTGTTACACTGGACTTTGCATTTAAGAGCTGAAGGGATGGTTTTGGCTATCCTTATCCTTTATACTTTCATGACGGTTGAAGCAATCTGGATGACGGCTTCCTGAAGGACGTCTTAGCGTAAGGCAAGTGAACACGACGTGTAGTCTTGGCCGCATCCATAGTTAGCTAAGCTTCCCTCTAGCCCACATCTCTGACAGGAAGGGTGTGGAAGGAGTTTTGTGCAGGATTCGGAGTTAATGAGCAATGAGAGTAATATGGAGCTTAACTTCACTTCAAACAAGCATAAAGACAGAATACTGCAGCGGTTTGACTGAACGCTTGTCACATCTTAAAATATTTTTGCAGCTGCAAGTAAGAAGAGTAATTCACCCAAGCCTGTTCGCTCTGGAGCAGCAGGTAGTTTGTCTTTACGAAGAGCTATGGACTGTGGGGATAGTAATCTTCGTTTAAAGGGAGACGGTCAAACTTCTGAAGGTAAGCAAGGTCATCTTTACTTGTGTGATGTGATGCATCTTAGCGTCTGTTGTACAGAAGCTTGTCAGAAGTCTTTTACTTGGCAACTGAAGTTTCCCTGCAACTCGACTGGATCCTGTCTCAAATCTAGTTAACGTTATTGTACCTGTGCAGACCTTGATAGCTCATCTGCTGTGAAACAGTGCCACACAGTTGGCTTACCGGAACATAAATATGTGTGTTACGTGTTACTTCTGGTCTCTCTGAAGATGTTGCAGGAGGTAACTTTATAGTGAAAATCATAGATCGGAAAGTACTGACCCAGGCTTAAATTGTGATTTGACTTAAAGGGAATTCAAGAAAACTCCGGTTCCATGTGATGAAAGAATTGTATGATATTGCTGCTCTGGAGTTTTACGATGCCATTCCTTAAGTGGTAACGAAATGAAATACCTAACGCAGGAATTGGTATTTTGCCCCTCTCAAGCCTTCAGAGAAGGAATGGAGTACCGCAATTGTTTTCTTTTAATGCTAAACAGGTACAGAAGGCTTGGGTGAGAAACTGGAAAATACCGTAAAGTCATCACACAGTGTAACTGTCACCTTTGTGCCCAGTTTCGCCCTTGTCCAAGACTAGACAGGCTGCCTTACTGCAGCCAGACGACTTTGCATCTGTAGCTGGGAAAAATGACAGTGGAGAGGGTGTCTGTGCTACTAGGAGATAAGTACAAGATGAGTTTTAACTACACGAGGTGGGGAAGGATTAGTCTGTGCTTACCCGAGTCTCCCATCAGAAATGGCAGCTGAAACGGCAGCTCCGTGTGTTTAGAGAGTGGATATCAAATGGTACGCGTTGCCTGTAGGCTGACTTGAAAATGTAAGGTTTTAGGAGTGAGGGTGGGGAAGGTGTGCTTGTGCATGCGCGTGTTTGGAACCAGACTGGTGATGGAAACCAGCCGGATGTTTCGCCTTTTGAAAAAAGGCTGGATGGGCTTTGAGCTTCTTTCCCTCTTTTCTCAGGTGGCGTGGGGAGTTCAAAGTTGAGCGGTCGGCATCGCTCGCCCCGGCCCCTGGCTAACAGCAGTGCTTCTGAGGCACTGCCTAAGCCGGAGGAAAGACCTTGTGAAGGTTCAGATTCCGATGTGGGAGTTTCTGGCTTAAATGGCTTAGCTGCTGTAGAGAAGACCAGAAAAGTTGGTGCTCTAGGGTAAGGGTTTTATTCTTTTTTCCTCGTTATCTCCTCCCCCACCTTCCCTTGATCTAGAAGGAAAAAACACCACTCTACTAAACCAGGTGCTTGTAGCATGGAAGAGAAGTTACTTTGAAGTTTACTTGGTTGCTGGTGTTCCCTCTGGATATCAATTTTTGGTTTTATAACTAGGTTACACGTTGTCTTTTCTTCTTTTTTCTTTTATTTTGATCAGCTGTGGATATAGTCTGAAACTTTGATTTGAAAGGCAGGCCCAGTCTGTTTTCCCACTATTCCTTGCAAAATATCCTCTAATTGAAAGTTACCGCTTTTGATTTCCTCATTTAAGACAGTATTTTTCCCTGTAACTCTACTTTTCAACAATTTCATAATAACTCCCTGTTGGCTAACTAAGCTGAGTGCAATGGAGTACTTGGTTGTTTTGTTTGGTCTTTTTCTAAACAGCAAGAGTCACCGTTTTTGGAAAATACTCATAAACTTTTCCAGGTTGATTTTTTTTTTAAGATTTTAAATCTTTTCTAAATCAATCAAAGTTGGAAGTTTAAGTGGACATGCAAGAGACTTAAACAATGAGTAAAACTAGATGTGGCACTAAAAGGATTTGTTTCCATAGCTGGATTAAAGCTGAATTTCTAACGTGGGTTTTTGTATTTCTCCAAATTCTTTCTTAAGATCGAACTCTAAAGGATGTCGTACAGAAGGAGCACAGTCAGGTGGTCTGGAAAACAACCCTGAAGCTGGTGAACTGCAGGGTGCGCTTTCTGAAGGTGCTTCTGCAGGGCCAGAAGAAGGTAAATCGCACGTAGTAGAGGGCAAACGCAGTGTGACAACACCCCAGTCTACGATGATCCATTTCTGTAGCGGAAGTAGCTTGAAGGGGAAAGCAAAAAAAAAGAGGGGGGAGAGAACCCACCACCATCAAAGCCCAAAACCTGTTTTCGTGGCTGTTGAACTTTGCTGTAGCATTTGGCAGCTGTAGTATAAATCTGAATGAGGAGAGAACATCTCTGCGTCACTGCTGTCTGTGGCTTCTCTTTTCGTGACGTTACGGTACAGCAGGAACATGGAGACCTGGCAGATAACGTCAGACGGTGCCGTCTGTTTCTCTGGTTGCTTTTTGTACCTCTTGATATGTCTCCAGGTCTTTGCTTTGGTGTTCAGTTTCATGGCCTTGAAAATAATTTCTTATCTAATTAAAATAGTAGCCAGTGACCTTGGCTTTTAAGTCTTCTGCCGTCAGGGACAGACCACATCTGTCGTCCGCACTAGAATCTCTCCAGCACTTCATTCGTCTGGGGTGTTGTGGTACATAAGCCAGTTTCCTTAGAGACTTGGAGGAAACTTTTCCCCCTCCCTTCCTGCATCCTTTCCATGCTGGGAAAAAATATTAGTGCCTTTTTTTTTTTTTTGGAAAGTCGACGTAGAAGAGTTTTTCTTATCTTGCTAAAACTCTCCTGCCTTCCACCCCTGCACTAATTTGAATTTCAATGACTGAATTGTAGCGCAAAGCCTATATTAAGGTGCCAGCATCCATCTCTATCTGCAGTGTGCAATATTGTGTAGGAGTTGGCATTTACAGAAGGTCTCTCAGTGACAAAACTGAATTTCTGCTCTTAGTCACTGCAGCATGATCGTGATGCGCTCCCGCAGCTCTCCTATTATAGCAGAGAGCCTAATAGGAAAATGTTTTAAAAATTGAAATACTTCATTGTAAAAACCTCAGGAAACAAATATTACAGGTTTTTTTCCCTTCTGAGGGAAAAACTACAGTAGAGTTGGCACCTCACTTAGCTACTTGCTTTTTCTTAGCAATGAGTATCAGCTCTTAAGAAGCAAAAGAACAGAGCAAACTCCTTTTGCCACCTGCAGAACTGTACGAAAGGGAGAGCTTTGACTGCTGTCAATGCACGCTCAAGGTCTGGCAAAACAGAAGAAGCCACCTTGATTGTCAATGGCTACGGTTCTCTTTTGTAGGAAAAGCATGGGTTTTGTGTGTGAGACTTGACTAGAGTATTGCTGCTTGAAGGGTCTGGTAGGTACATCTGCTCCACGGGTCGTACTACCTCTTAACTGTTAAAAAAGCAACCTTTATTTTCTGTCCGAATGGTAGAGGTTGACTGAGCAGCTGGCAGGGGAGCGCGGCTCAAAGAGGAAGGAGCTGTGGACACCTGAGTCCGCGCTCAGCTGGTGACATGTTGGAAGCGCTCCTCTTGAGCTAAGCGGCACAGCAAAACGAGGTGGTTTTCGAAACTGGTACCCGCTGTTCCGTCAAATTCCGTAGTGCTTTGGTAAATGCATCTAGCTCTGACCGTGCTCCTTCTCTCGTTCTCCTGCCAGCTCTTGGTATTTGATATTGGTAACTCTTACGTGTGGAATTGAATGTTCCAGCTACGTGGATCTTACTGCCATCACTTGTGCCTTGTGGTTTTTGGTTTTTTGGGTTTTTTTTGCAGCTGGGGTATGTCAGAAGCATGTCCTTCATCTCCTACCAGGAATGAGCAGTGATAGTGACATTGAATGTGACACAGAAAACGAAGAGCAGGAGGATGCCACCTCTGCCTCGGAGGGGTTTAACCACGCCTTCTCTGTCCAGTCCTCAAGCGAAGGTAGAGTTAGTTGCCTGTGTGAGCCCACCTTCCCAGGCACTCCCGCGGGTCTGCCTCAGAGCTCCTGTAACGCAGAACGCTGCAAAAGCAGAGATCGCTGGTGCTGCAGAGGTATTAAAGCTCAAGCTCGCGCCAGTAAGATTTGGAACTCCTCTCTGGGGATCCTAATTAAAACCAGATGAAAACGGGAGAGGGGAACTCTTTCTAGCCTTGAGAAGTCAGTTTAAGTGAGTCTCCCGGGGAAGTGTTGGAAAACCCATAGCTGTGGTTCTTCTGAATTGGAACTCCCCGTGCGCCGGGATCGGCACTGTAAGTGGCTAATTTCAGGGAGGGTAACCGCTGCCTTAGACACCGATTTGCATCTTAATTGGCAGGAGTGTGCTTTGGGCACTTCAGTGTAGTTTGAAAAACTCATCTCGTATTTCTTTGAAAAGCTTCAACCTTCTGATCGAATTAGAAGCTGTAGGGTGGCAGCTGACACTAGGTGAAGTTGACTTTTGGCCTGAATAAGCAGCCCCACCCCACGACAGCAGCATGGCCTAACAACTCGGCTCAGTAATTGGAGTTTGCTGCTTTGCTGTATGTCTGCAGCAGGCACGAGAACCTCACAGCTCATCAGAAGAATCGACACATTGCTCATATCTGTGCTGCACTTAAATTTAAACCCCCGTGGCAGTCTTAACTCTGTCAAGCACATCGTGTACCGGGGTATTAGGGATGAAGTACAACACAGCGGGCCCTGCGGGTCACGGAATGTGAACTTGCTGTGTTCCGACTGCTCATCTGGTGAAGGTTACTGGGTTTTTGTTCGGTTTGTTTTCAGCCTCGGAGCGGTGCTCGATGTTCCCAGAGGGTGATGAAGTCGGTCCTGATGATCTCAGCTTTGTTACTGGAGAAGACAGCGCCAGGTAACTGTAACTGCTTGCCTTAGCTAGCCTGTGAGGTGGCTGTAGCCCTGGGGATGCACCTTCCCCGTACCGCTCCTCGAGCCGCAGAGATTAGAGGCAACGTTCATCTTACGGTGAGTAGACAGGCGGGCATTTGTACAGTCTAACGTGCTGCCGTCTGCCACCAGGAGACCAGCAGCAGACGGGTGAGCCCCTGTCTGCTTCTGGCTGGCCACCCTGCCCCCCCAGGGCCGTGCAGCTACGCGTGTGTTAGGGCAGTCTTGAGAAATCACACGGTGCCGAGGGAGGGCTGGCTGAGTTTTGCATGCTTAAGTAATCGTCAGTAGAAAACCCTGATTGGGTGTAAGTACCTGGCATAAAGTTTTGACTCGTGAGACTGAGTTTGCTTGAAGCCTTAGAGCTGTCCCCATGTGAGGGTGTTCAATGAAAGCTGGCTTTCTTTGGAGCAGATAGAGAACAGGCTTGGGGCCTGAAGACCTGCGGCTCGCGTCCCTGGGAAGAGATGCGTTTATTCACTGGAGCTTAGTCCAAGGCTGCTGTTCATGGCTGTGTGCGCACTCCATTCTGTCAAATACCCTTGTGCGGTTCTTCTACAGTCGTCTTAAACCTGTGACTGGGGCAAAAGGACCTTTGAAGGCCTTACACGAAAGGCTGCATTCCT